AGACAGACATTATACTGGAACAATTTGCAACTCTTAATTGTGGTCTTTCTGTCAAATGGATGGTCTAGTTTTGAGAAAAATCCAGGACTCCTTGGAGGTAAATTATTATTGACGCAAGTGTTGACTGCTGACAACTGCCTGGAGTAGTTTATGCAGATTTCATGGCAGGATTTTGGAAGTGATTTGCCCTTGCCTCCTTCCTAGGGATAAGAGATTGGCCCAAGGTCACCCAGTTGGATTTGTTTTCCAAACTTTTTTGACCCTGAAGCTGTTCTGGAATTCATAAAATCTTGTCTTATACTTTTGTGCCTTAACTAAAATGCCAAACTGACTATCTGATCCTACACATTATTATGTATTAAGAATGTTTTAAGTAGATCATGATCAGGAGACCAAGATCCAGCATAATTTTATGGACACAGAAAATTAAAGGATTTACATTAGGCGTTTCCAACTTGCAAGCTGCATGCAATCTTGGACAGCTAGTAATTCAGCCTCACAAGGTTGTAAAGTTTTAACATTATTAATGTATTTATATACATTAATTCTATATTTTTATGCAGCCCAAGACTATTATTTAGTTATTTGTTACATTTATTTGTTGCCTATCTCACTGTGGGGCTACTCTAGGCAGCTTATAATAATAAAAACAAAGACATGAAAAGAAGTATAAACAAAACAGAAGTCAAATAATCAAACAGTAAAAGAAACAATGAAAGACAAAACAATAAGAATACACCAATGGGCTAACAAAAGAGCAGAACACTAGGAGGGGAGGTCGAATCAGCCATAATCCCACAGTCACCTCTAGCATGGAATTTCCCCATTGTGTCTCCAGGCCATCAGGCAGAGCCAGGACTTCAGGCTCCTATGGAAGGATAGGAGGATGGGGCCAGATCTTATCCTGAAGGGTAGGATGTTCCAAAGGGCAGGCACTGTGGCAGAGAAGGCTCCTCTGGATCCCAAAAGTCAGAGTTCTTTGACTGATGGGATCCACAATAAGCTCTCTCTGCTGGCATGAGTAGGATAGGCTTATCCTAGTGGCATGAGACTGTTCAGATAGCCTGGACGTATGCTATTAAAGACTTTAAAGGTGATAACCAATGCTTGGAACTACACCCAGAAGCAGACCAGTAGCCAGTGCAGTTCATGGAGCAGAGATGTAATATGGGCCATTCTAGGGGCCCAAAGACTGCTCTCACTACTGCACATTGTATCAGCTGAAGCTTCTGAATGGATTTCAAGAGTAACTTCATGTAGAGTGCATTGCAGAGTCCAGATGAGAGATGAATAGGGCTTGAGTAACTAAACGTGGGGAGTCATGATCCAGGAAAGACCACAACTGGTGCACCAGCCAGACCTGTGCAAAAGCTCTCCTAGTCACACCCATCACCTGCTCTTTGAGCAGGAGACATGAACCCAGGAGAAGCAAAATGGATCTGAACAGGTTAGTATCATCATATCCAGAACTAAGGATGACAAAAACTTGAATCCCGAGACTCCATGTACTCAAAGTTACTCAGTCTTGCCAGGGTTCTGTTGTCCCCTATCCAAGTCACTACAACCTCCAGGAATCATGAGAGGGAAGAGACAGCATTACTCAGGTCACCAGATATAGATCTGGTATACATATTTTCAACATATTGATATCTCAACCCATGGTGACAGATGATCTCACCCAATGGCTTCTTGTAGACATTAAATAGAAGAGCAGAAAGTATCGAGCCCTGCAGGATATTTTAAGTGAGCAGTCGGCGGCTGGATTTCTCACTCCCTATTAACACTGATTGGGACCAACCTTGAAGAAAGGAGTTGAACCAGCCCTAACTATCTGCCTAGCCCCAACTCACATAGCTGACCCAAAAGGATACCATGGTTGATGGTATTGAAGAACTCTGAGAGGTCAAGGAGAGCAAGAATGGTTGCAATTATCCCCATCCCACTCTCACCAGAGATCGTAAGTGTAACCGAAGTGTCTCTGTCCCATAGCCAAGCCTGAATCCTGCTTGAAAGGGGTGCAAGAAATCCATTTCATCTAGGTCCCCCTGGAACTATCAAAAAACCACTTTTTCTATCACTTTCCCTAAAGAAGGAAGATGGGAGACTGGATGCAAGTTGTCCAGGCAGGTTGGGTCAAGTGATGGTTTTTCTTCTTCAGTCAATGTGGCCCAGGTAAGCCAAAAGGTTGGACACCTATGATTTATATGAACAAATCAACACACCAAATTACCTCTTGAGTTTCCTTTGAAATAATACCACTAGAGAATTTGAAATGTTCATGAAGCATTTTAATTTACCTTTGTGGGCACTTCTATTTCTTCTGTAACAAATACTTCTTCTGTCTGGACAGCATCCATTGGGAAATAACCAAATTCTTTGCCTTTCTATAGTAAAAGGGAAAAATGGCATTTAGAAACACACTGTGATTTCTACTTAAAATATTAATAAAACAAAAATTATAAGAAGAACCTTTAGAATTTTTTTTCTTATGTTTCGGGAATAAAATTGTTTTTTTCCTTGAGAAAATTTGCTTCTTCCTCTTTTTTTTTTTAAAAAAAAAATAGTAGAGAAATGTTTGTTTTTAGTTTAAAAGCCATAGGACATTACCCATAGTGGTCTTGCTATTTTATCAGCAGTAATTTTTCTTCAAATTATGTCAATGGGTCTCAGTTTCAGTTAAGAAGGAAATAATTTTATCATATCACCAAAACTGATATAACAACTCTGTTAAAATTAAGGAGAAATAGGGATGTGAAGTGTGGGATAAAAAAGGAACCAGAATTGTATAGGTCAGTCATTCTCAACCTGTGATCAGCAGATCCCGGGGGAGGGGCGGCTGCAATGTTGTCACAGAGGCAGGGGTCTATGAAGGCTTGAAGAAATGTTATGATTTAAATCTTGAGTTAAGTCTTAGGGGTCCCTGATCACAAAAGGTACTTAAAGGGGATCCATAGTAAAGAAAAGGTTGAGAACCACTGTTACAGGTTAATAGTGAGGATCTGCTCTAAAATTTCTAATATATTTTATCAGAAACAATGGAAATAATTAAAAGCATTCAAAATGATACTAATCACCAGATCGATATCAAAGAGCATCACTATTAACATGGTTAAATCAGATATTATAATCTGTGCAGTACAATAGTATTTTGATCCACTAGATCAAGAGACAAAATGAAAGAATGCTAAGCCTGTTGATCTAATATTTAGCAATTAGATTCTTTACATCTATTTGTTGAACCATTATGTCTCTTTGGTTATAATTGCTAGAGCAAGATGAAAGTAACTTCCCAGTACATTTGGATAATACCAGTTTTAGCATGGTATGTTAGTCCTTGTTAATTAACCTCTGTGGTTAAGAGGCCACTGGTAAGCAACAACAGAGGCATCATCAGAGGAGGAACAATTTATGAAAACCATAAGCTCCTCATTTATACATGCACAATAATGTTACATAAACATACAAAAGGGACAGAGTTTGTGCGGTGATAATGCAATGTTGCCTTCCTCATTTTGACAAAAGTATCAGATGTTGTGAACTCTGAATAGCAGATATATCAGACCCTTTGTTGCTTTCAATAAGCCAAAGGATGCCCAGATGCAGTTGTGTGCATAGGCAAAAAGAATGTTCAATTATCTTAAAATTCCAAATGTATCCCTCTGCAGAAAAGATTGGATGTCCCTGACAGAGATATACTTCTATGCAGGGGTGGGATTCAAAATTTTTAACAACCGGTTCTGTGGGCGTGGCTTGGTGGTCATGTGACTGGGTGGACATGGCTTGGTGGTCATGTTATTGGCTGGGTGTGGCCAACTCAATATCACTCACATCGAGGCACGCATCTCCTCGCCTGGCCTCTCATGACTGTGGGGATGCTGCAATAGTCGTAAGTGTGAAAAATGGTCACAAGTCACTTTTTTCAGTGCCATTGTAACTTTGAATGGTCACTCCACACAAGCAAAGTACCAGCAAAGGAGGGGGAAAAAACTCCAGAGAAGTTCCTGAGACAGGAAGTCTAGTCCTGCCAAGAATGTAATAAGGGTCAACGGAGAGGCAGTTTCTGTAAGCAACACCAGAATGTTTCCTTCCTGCCTTCCTTACAGGATTAGGCCAGTAATTTTGTTCTGTACAGTCATTTACATACTCGTAAGCGCCGCGTTGCGATTGGCTAAAGCGCGCGGCAACCGGATTGGTCGAGCGAGCCGCACTGATTGGCCCGTTACGAATCCCCCGCGATTGGTGGAAACTAATTGCGGGAGATTCGAAGCGGTGCCATTGGCCGCGGCCGCCGCGGCTTGGGAATAAAAAGCCGCTGTTTTTCCCTACAAGCTTAAGCTGTTTACGGAGCACAATAAAGAGCTGAAACCAGTCACTGACTCCGAGCTTCCTTCCTCCGACGGACATGACACTGGCGACGAGGATGGGATCCAGAGAATAACCACTGAGCTCGTGTCCCGAGGAAGCAAAGACCGACGAGATGGCCAGCATCACCCCGCCCGCGCCGTTCAATCTGGCTACTGAGGATTGGGAATCGTACACGGACCGATTCCTAATGTTCCTCGAGAGTAGCAACTTAAAGGACGCGAACGGGCAGAAGAAAAGAGCCGTTTTCCTGACGCACTGCGGGCCCGCGGTGTTCAAGATGGCCAAAGCCCTCGCTAAGCCCGCGGACGTGAAGGTGATGGACTGGGGCGATCTCGAACAGTTGCTCCGAAACCACTACACCCCTGCCGTGCCCATACTCATCCGGCGGGACGAATTCTACCGGCGGAACCAGAGGCAGGACGAGAGCGTCAGCGATTTCATGGCTGACCTGCGGGACCTAGGGGGCATGTGCGAGTTCCGAGACTTGGACGATGCCCTCTGAGACCGCGTGGTCCTAGGCCTCAGGGACCCGGCACTGAAGAGCCGACTGATGGCAAAGGGCGACATCGACCTCGCCGACACCCTTGCGGAAGCCACCGCGGCTGAAGCAACCCGGAAATCAGCAGCCCGGCTTCGGAAAGCGGACAACGGGAACTGCTCCGAAAATCCCGAGGCGAACCGACGAGAAACCACCACCCACCACGGGGACCTGGACTCCGCCTCCGACACCACGGAAGAGGAAGAAGATGTCCATCGGCTACAGACAGGACGGGACCGACGAGATCAACGAGGTCGTAAGTCGGGACCCCAGTGCGCCGGGTGCGGGGGCAGCCACCTTCGATCAGAATGCCGTTTCATCGATGCGATCTGCCGGCATTGCAACAAGAGGGGCCATATCGCCCGAGTCTGCAGACTCAGGAAGACCTATAGCCCCCGACGACGAGACCAGAGCAACCGGAGGCGAGACGACACCCCCCCCAGACCCAGAGACCGCCAAGTCGAAAACTGCTGGAGCCGAGACACCCGGGGGCGACGAAACGGGGAAGGCCGCCAGAGGGAGGAAACCCACCAAACGGTCACAATCGGTCACGCCTCAACCACCGATGCCCGAAAAGTCTACGTAGAAGTGGACATCGAGGGCGAACCATGCCGGATGGAGGTGGAGTCCGGGTCCTACCTCTCCATGGTCGCCTGGAAAGAGATCAAGCGGCTGGTGCCAACCCTCCAAAAAGGAGGACTAGAGAACCAGAAGTTGTTGATTAAGGACTACCAGGAGAACCGCATCCCCGTAATCGGGACCGGACAGTTCGAAGTAACTTTCAAGGGTCGCACCGCAAAGCTTCCCCTGACAATCGTGGACCGGAACCGACCCAGCCTTTTAGGGCTCCAATGGTTCGCACCACTTGGCATCGAGGTTACAGGCATAAACCACATCGCAGAAGCCGACTGGGAACAGCAACTGGCACGGGACTTCCAGGAAGTGTTCGACGGCACCCTAGGCAAGTACCGAGGGCCCCCTATCTCCTTCAGTCTAGACCCCAGCATCGCCCCCATACGCCTAAAACCAAGGCGGGTACCTTTTGCACTCCGGAAAAAAATCGACGAGCAGATTGACAAGCTCGTCAAACAGGGGGTCTTGCAGCCAATCGACCACGCCCGATGGGAGACCCCAATAGTCACCCCAGTTAAGCCAGAAGGGTCAGTGAGAATCTGCGGGGACTATAAGGCCACCCTCAATTGCGCCCTACAACAAAGCGCCTACCCCGTCCCAGTAGTGCAACACCTACTACACTCGCTGGGGGGGGGGGCAAGGTCTTTGCGAAGCTCGACCTGGCGCAAGCCTACCAGCAGCTGCCGGTCGATGCAGAAACCGCCGAAGCGCAAACAATAGTCACCCACCGGGGAGCGTTTCGTTGTAACCGACTCCAGTTTGGAGTCAGCGTGGCCCCAGGCATTTTCCAGAGCCTCATGGAGAGACTGCTGCAAGGAATAAAAGGGGTGGTCCCCTATTTCGACGATGTGCTAGTGTCGGCAGCTAACCGGGAAGAACTAGAGGGTCGCCTAAGGGAGGTACTAGAAAAATTCAAAGGGGCCGGGCTAAAAGTGAAGAGAGAGAAATGCCAGCTATGCACAGAGCAGGTCGAGTTCCTAGGGTACCTCCTAGACCGACATGGCATCCACCCAACCAAAAACAAAATCAAAGCCATCAAGGAAGCCCCCACACCCAAGAACAAAACAGAGCTGCAGGCATTTCTGGGACTGCTCAATTTTTACAATGTGTTCTTGCCCCAAAAGGCGACCGCAGCGGAGCCATTGCATAGGCTCCTGGATAAGATGGCCAAATGGACCTGGGGGAAACGTGAGGACACCGCATTCAGGAAAACCAAGGACCTGCTCACCTCGGATGCCGTCCTCATCCAATATAATGAGACTCTACCCCTCGCCGTGACATGCGACGCCTCACCCTTTGGCGTTGGCGCCGTTCTCAGCCACACACTCCCGGACGGAAAAGAAGCACCCATCGCTTTCTTTTCAAGAACACTCAGCAAACCAGAAAGGAACTACAGCCAGTTGGACAAGGAGGCCCTGGCTATCGTTGCAGCAGTAAATAAGTTCCACGAGTACCTCTACGGCCGCCGATTCACCATTATCACAGACCACAAGCCGCTGCTGGGAATCCTGGCTGGGAACAAGGCCACCCCGAACATCCTATCCCCCAGGATGACAAGGTGGTCTGAGTTCCTCGCCGCCTACGACTACCGGCTCACACACCGACCCGGCAAGACGATCACCCACGCAGACGCGCTGAGCCGCTCGCCACTACCCGACCTAGACACCGACCCAGCCCCCACGACGACCACCCTCAGCATAGAGGCATTGCCCGACCTACCCATAACCGCGTCAGACATTGCCCGAGAGACTAATAAAGACAAACGTCTGGCGCAGCTGCTACATTGGGTAGAAAAAGGGTGGCTGGAATAGGACAATGAGGAATCATTCAGGACATTCCGGAACCGGCAAACAGAACTGTCATTACAGAAAGGTTGTTTGTTATGGGGGGACAGGGTGGTCATACCAGAAAAATTGCAAGGGAAAGTATTAAAATTGTTGCACGAAGGGCACCCGGGCATTGTGAGGACAAAAGCCTTGGCCAGAAGTTACGCTTGGTGGCAAGGCATGGACAAGCAGATCGAGGCTTGGGTGGCCAAGTGCTCACGCTGCCAAGAAACCAGACCAAATCCTCCCGCCGCGCCAATACTAGAATGGGAAACCCCCAGGGGGCCATGGTCCAGGGTCCATATAGACTTTGCCGGGCCCACAAAGGGAAACACATTCCTCATCACGGTGGATGCTTACTCCAATTGGCTGGAGGTAAGCAACATGAAAACCACCACAACAGAAGCTGTCACCAAGGTACTCAGCAAGCTCTTCGCAACCCACGGCCTCCCAGATGTCATCGTGTCAGACAACGGGCCCCAATTCACCTCGCTAGAATTCGAAAAATTCCTAGCGGAACGGGGCATACGACACGCACTGACAGCGACGGCACATCCAGCGGCTAATGGTAGGGCGGAACGGATGGTTCAATTTACAAAGAAAACCCTCCAAAAAATCGAACACGGGGAAATACAAGAAAAGATCAATAAAATGCTTCTGATACAACATATAACCCCAAACACAACGACAAACAAAAGCCCGGCAGAATTACTAATGGGGAGAAAACTAAGGTCCCCACTCGACGGACTACACCCCACATACAACCCGGAAAACCCCCCAGACTCAAGCAAGCACCGGGTTTTTGCACCAGGCGACGCAGTTTACGCAAAGAACCTTACCGGAGACCCACTATGGGTACCGGCAACCATAACCCAACTGACAGGCCCCCACTCATACCGGCTGCAGACAACTGACGGACAAACATGGAAACGCCACATCGATCAACTAAGATCAAGGACAAGAAACACAACCGACACGCAATCAAACACAGACGACCCCATTAACGCAAACCAAGAGGGGAGGGAATATACAGGGAATCAAGAAATAATAGAAAATAACCGGCAATACTCACCGGTTAACAGCCAGCTCGAAGCCTCACCAGGAAGAAACAGCCAGGCCAGCTCAACCAGCCCAGAAAGACTAGGCGGGAGCGGCGAGAGTCGCAGCTCAACCGACCCGGGTAGACCGGGAGGGAGCTGCAACAAGAGGCCTGGCGACACCTTCCAGGTAGTTCCATCGACGAGACCAAGAGAAACAGAAGACCCGACCGAACTGGCCGAGAGCCAAACAACAACTAACCTGCGCAGGTCCAGTAGGCAAGTACGGAGCCCCGCCTACCTACGGGACTACGTTACGTAGGACCGAACCAAGAGGGGAGGGGTTTTCTGTACAGTCATTTACATACTCGTAAGCGCCGCGTTGCGATTGGCTAAAGCGCGCGGCAACCAGATTGGTTGAGCGAGCCGCACTGATTGGCCCGTTACGAATCCCCCGCGATTGGTGGAAACTAATCGCAGGAGATTTGAAGCGGTGCCATTGGCCGCGGCCGCTGCGGCTTGGGAATAAAAAGCCGCTGTTTTTCCCTACAAGCTTAAGCTGTTTACGGAGCACAATAAAGAGCTGAAACCAGTCACTGACTCCGAGCTTCCTTCCTCCGACGGACACGACAAATTTCTTCTAACAATCGGTTCTCCAAACTGCTTAGAACATTAACAATCGGTTCTAGCGAATAGGTGTGAACTGGTAGAATCCACCCCTGCTTCTATGCTGCTTCTATGTCAATTCAAATACTAGGTATATACACATATAACAGTAGAATAATTATGTCTCTGGCTGCGTCAAAAGAGCTCAGAAAACTAACTTTTCAGCAAAACAATTTTACTTAGAAGAAATCCATTATAATCAGTAGGATTAACTGTTACTAAAGGTATTACTAAAGCTACTTTCAAGAAGAGATTGGACTTTCAAGAAGAGATTGGACTGCCGTTTGTCAGAAATAGTGTCGGGTCCCCCGCTTGGGCGGGGGTGGGTTGGACTAGGTGACCTACAAGGTCCCTTCCAACTCTGACTATCTGTTATCTGTATAGGATTGAAGTTTAAAACACAACCCAAACCTGGTATCTTTCTGAAAACATTTCAAACTAATTATAAACCCGGCATTAAATAATTCAGCTTTTATGAGAAGAGGTGACCCAAGGTTAGAACTGTAGAGACAGCCTTAATAATTGGTGATGTGGGAGGGAAGCTAAACTAATCCTTTAAAGATAAGGGGAAAACTGGGAATCTCAGAAGATGGCAGCTCCTGGCTGATCTCTAAATTTGGAAGCTAATTAGGCTTAGTGAGTACTTGGATGGAGAGCATCAAGGAATACAATAGAAAAGTAAAACATATTTTGGAAGAAGGCAATTGCAAACTATTTTGCCAAGAAAACTGCATGGTTATACTCAGGTATTTACCTGGAGCAAAGATCAAAAGAGGTCTCTACCCCTTTTTTAATTTACAGAGCGTCCCTCCTCCCAAATGAAGGACCCAGTCTTTCTCCAGCTACCAGGTAATAAAAAAATAATAAATTCAAAAACTTTTCATGGTAGGCAACTGAGTATGAACTGAGTCAGGTAGAACTTTCATTCTGCCCATAGACAGAACCTCCTCTATTTTGAATTGAGTTCAAAATGCTATGATTTAAAAAACAACAACATATTTCTTTCAAATAGAACCATAATTACTTTTTAAGCAGTTGCAAGATGAGGCAATCCTTCCCTCCACCCTAACTTTCTTAAAACCCTTAAAGTTGTAGTCATATTATAAATAAAACCAGTCATTTTCAGGCAAATTGCTGACTAATACTTACACTTCCAGCCCATAAATCTTCCCTTTCCCTGGAAAGTTTGAAGTATACCATTATTTCTTCCCCAATTTTGAAGCGCAGGTAGCGGCAGTCAGGCCCAGTGTAGTCTTTAATGGCTAACACTCTGCTCATAGTTGCTGGGTAAAAATTAAAAATAGAGGCAATATTTATACAGTGCAGCAATCAATATAGAAACTCTTTAAATCAGATGTGTTTCTTCTCAGGATTGTGAAATGCATTTATGTGATCTTGGGAAAAGTTGCAGCTGCTTTAAGATACTGTTTATATGGGCGCTGAAACACAAACACATTCTCCTTATCTAATATGTGACAGTTGATCATGGTTTAACATTTAATCTTAAATTATCCACACTTGTTCTGTTACCAGAAGCAAACAATCATAGAGTCACTGGGAATGAGCCGGGCAGCCATATACATTTTCTTAATAAATAAATCTGAGTTGTTCTTACTCCATCTATTTTGCCATTAGGACTGTAGATATTATTTGATAAGATACTTTACTTTTCCAAAATTATTTTATCACTTACTACTATACAAAAGTGAATATAAAAAGTCTATACACCTCTGTTAAAATGCAAGGTTTTTGAACTGTAAAAAAAAATCAAACCAAGATAAATAATGTCGGAATTTTTTTCACATTTAATATATAAGCTGTACAATTCAACTGAAAAACAAACTGAATTTTTTTAGGGAAAAATAACAAAAAACTTTCAATAATGTGATTGCGTAAATATGCATACCCTTAAATTAATACTTTGTTGAAGCACTGATTGATTTTATGGCAGCATTGTACAACTTATATTCACTAACATGGTTGTGTAGACTTTTTGCATCCACTGTATTTCCAAGTATGCACAGTTGATTAAAATAGGGTTTTACTTTTATGCAAACTTGCATAAAAATGTTGGAGGACTTCTTAGTAATGTACTCTTAACTGTTTTGACTGAAATACTAAAAAAGAAAGCTAGCCAAAATATTCTCCTTATATGCTATATAAATTTATCAATTAATATTCATAAAAACATAATTAAATATTACATTATTAACTTCCTATTTAGTAGGAACAGGGATACAATCAATGTTGTTGTGGTCTGAGATTCTATTTCTAAGGTCTGTTAACAGGCTTGCTATTGAAGTTTATCAATTCAAATCCTTTTACACTAATTTTTCAGGCTATGGAATGTGCTAAAAAAATGACAGAGCTCCATATTATGAAGCTAAGCTCTTGCGTTAGAAAATTGCTTTTGCTTTTAGTCTTTCCTGGAACCCCGTCAAGTTCTCATAGAATCATGAGGATGTGAGGAAATCCTGAGGAAATCCTCATTAGGAAATGATAAATTGATCTTTCATAAAGTGGATAGAATTGATAGAACTTTCATTATCATTTCAAATTAGCACTTAGACTTTTCAAATTAACTTTCCAAAGTTTTTCAAATAAATATATTGGTAGAGTTTTGCAGCATTACTACACTGTTGAATAGACTTAGTTAAAGCAAAGATCTTTATACTTACTTTCACATTCTGAATCTCCACACTTTTTCTGCGCTGAAAGTACCTTAGTACTTTTTGTGTTTGTTGACAATGAAAGAATTAATAGTATAAGACTGATGCCTAAAATCTTCAACATTCTTAAAAAATGTTATTCCTGAAAGAATTTTTTAAAATTAAAGTCTCATGAGCAGAGTAGTTTTTCAATTCCTTTAGTTCAATTCCTTTTAAAAGATACAAAGAACTCGTCAATTCATTTTCTTCTGTTCTTTAGACTCTGCTCCCACAAATGCCCTTTCAACAGTGTTTTGAGTCAGCTATCCTGCTTTAATAATTAACCACATTCAATACATGGATTAAGGTTTTAAAATAAAAAACTTATTCCCAAAAGTTATTTTAATTATAAAATCCTGCTTTACCAATATACTAATCTGAAAACGCAAATTGTTTGTGTGACTTGTACATTATAGGAAGAAATGTTTCTAGTAAGATTAATACATGATTTTTAAAAAACTCATTGTTTGAGTTCTATAGTTGTTTGAATCCCTGTCTTTCAAGCCCTATGACTGAATTTATGTTTTTGTTTTAGAGTATGACCCTGGACCCTGGCAAATTCACTTGGACATTAATTATTCCATGTTTGGTGGTTATTTCTGTCAATTAAGCATGAATAATAGGACTGTAGTTTCAATTTAGCACAGAAGTCAGTTTACTGAGTTGTTGTTTGTTGGTTATACTACCAAGACCTAAGCATGCCATCTGCATGCATATGTGCACAAACCTACCCACACACATGTATATATTTTAACCGATAGAGGACAGCCATACTTCCCAATTGAAATAAACTATAAGGTCAGACCATATATTTAAAAGTACGGCTTCAACTTGATGTGAACAAGATTGCAATTGGAGCCAATGGAACAGCTTGCCTTCAGAAGTTGTGGGACTTCACCACTGGAAGCTTTCAAGAAGAGATTGGACTGCCATCTGTCAAAATTGGTGTAGGGTCTGCTGGGGTGGGGTTGGACTAGATGACCTACAAGGTCCCTTCCAATTCTGTTAATCGGTATCTGTATCAATATACTGGACGTTTTTAAGAAAAGACTGGACAACCATTTGTCTGAAATGGTATAGGGTTTCCTGCTTGAGCAGGGGATTGGACTAGAAAGGGACCTCCAAGGTCCCTTCCAACTCTATTATATTATTCCTAAACATTTTAAGAGTTGTTTCCTTTTTCCATTGTTGACCTACACCCAGGTTATCCGGCCGACAACCAAACATTGTCAAATCTTTAGACATAATATCTCTATTGATCCCAAGGAATTTTTATTTTGTTTCATTTTAAATTTCTACTGTTCAATTCCAAAATGATTCATGCGGTTAGAAAGCACAACCTCCCCAACATTATAGCAAAAAGTTACCCAAGAGAACAGATTAAAAAAGCACTCTTCCTCGTCAACAGTGCAAACTGTGCACTGTTTAATATATTTAATATACAAGTTTACCAATATCTGGGGGAAAAAACAATTCAGACAAAAATGGCCCAGTGGAATGAACTCCAGATGAAAATATGTCTCCCTTTCTCTGCAACTGTTAGAGAAGCTTTGTTTCTTCATGCATGCTAATTTACAGAGTTTATTGATTAAATAATTGAAGAATATCATCTGTACTTGAGACAGAAAATGATGCCACTGTTTTCCGCTTCAATGTTTTGTGCCCATCTTGGTTATCTCCAGTTGCAAATCTTTTTCCCAGAATATTTTGACATTAGATTACGTGCTTGTTCCATACAAGCGTTGTAAAATTTTGAAAGGGGGCTTTTAGGTGCAACTGGAATATTCAGTTACCAGTGATTCAAAAATTCAAATAGGATTCAATATCAATTTGCTTGGATTTTATTTTTTTGATTAAAGAATCTGTACTGTAAATAAAACAGCAAGGAAGAATCTAACAAAACTAACTGGTCAATTACAAAGTTTAACAAAATTCTGACCTGTTTTTCACCCTTATCTGCTTCCTGTCTTCAACTGCCTTTCAACTGTACTCAACTGCCTTTCTCCAAGGTTCCATTGTTTTTCAATTTAAATCTACCCTTTCCTTAGTCAATACAGAAGTTCCAAGTGAGATTGTACAGCAGGGCATTATACTGAGTCGAGTCCCCAAATAATGAAATAAACAAAAAGCTCTGAAGATTATATTGAAGTTTTAGGTTCAAACAAATCTTAACAGACTAATTTTAATTTCCTTCTTTGATAACATTAATAGCTTCATAAATCATTTTGTAGACATCATGTATCTGGGCCTCAGCAAAATCTTTACGTCGTTCAGGATGCTTATCATGAAGTTGTATTTTTTATTTATTTTTATTGCACTTTTATTTTTATAGATAATTCAAGGTGGCAAATATGCCTAATACTCTTGCCTTGTTTTCCCCACAACAACCCTGTGAGATGAGTTGGGCTGAGAGTGACTGACCCAAGGTCAGCAGCTGGTTTTCATGCCTAAGGTGGGATGAGAACTCAGTCTCCTGATTTCTAGCCTGGTGTCTTAATCATTAAACTGCACGAAACTTTTATAACTTCTAGCTGGTAGAATGATTGCACTCCAAAAGTGATAATTGATGGCTCAATTTCAGCTGTGAGGGAAATTCTGAGGGAAGTGTCCCTGTGCTCTCCTAGGACCTCTGCTGTTGTACATTGTATCAATAATTTAGATCAGAGATCACCAACTGTGGTCCGCGAGAAAAATTTGGTGGTCCACAGCTGCTTTGGAATGACCAAAGGCCAGTCCTGTGACTACTACAGCTCTGGAATATGGGACTGACTTTCCCACGTCAGTCTGCCTGTCTTCATTTTCCTTCACTCAGATTGACCATTGTTTTGTAGTAATTACACTAATTTTGTTACAGTTAACCAACCTTTTAAGGTTTTGTTATGATTAAATAAGAATGTATAATTTTGTTATATTAAATAGGTGCATTTCATATTAATAAAATGGAAGTTCTCTGATCATTATTTTACAAATGTACAGGTGAAACTCAAAAAATTAGAATATCGCGCAAAAGTTTTTATTTCAGTAATGCAACTTAAAAGGTGAAATTAATATATGAGATAGACTCATTATATGCAAAGCAAGATAGTTCAAGCCATGATTTGTCATAATTGTGATGATTATGGCTTACAGCTCATGAAAACCCCAAATCCACAATCTCAGAAAATTAGAATATTACATGCAATCAATAAAACAAGGATTGTACAGAGAACAATATCGGACCTCTGAAACATATAAGCATGCATATGTACTCAATACTTGGTTTGGGCCCCTTCTGCAGCAATTACTCCCTCAATGCAGCGTGGCATGGAAGCTATCAGACGGTGGCACTGCTGAGGTGTTATGGAAGACCAGGATGCTTCAATAGCGGCCTTCAGCTCTTCTGCATTGTTCAGTCTCATGTCTCTCATCTTTCTCTTGGCAATGCCCCATAGATTCTCTATGGGTTCAGGTCAGGCAAATTTGCTGTCCAATCAAGCACAGTAATCTCACGGTCATTGAACCGGATTTTTGTGCTTTTGGCAGTGTGGGTAGGTGCCAAGTCCTGCTGGAAAATGAAGTCAACATCCCCATAAAACTTGTCTGCGGAAGGAAGCATGAAGTGCTCCAAAATCTCCTGGTAAACAGCTGTGTTGACCCTGGACTTAATGAAGCACAGTGGACGAACACCAGCAGATGACATGGCTCCCCAAATCAACACAGACTGTGGAAACTTCACACTGGACTTCAAGCATCTTGCAGTGTGTGCCTCTCCATTCTTCCTTCAGACTCTGGGTCCTTGGTTTCCAAATGAGATGCAAAAGTTGCTCTCATCAGAGAAGAGACTTTGGACCACTGAGCAACAGACCAGTTGTGTTTCTTTAGCCCAGGTAAGACGCTTCTGACGTTTGTTGTTCAGGAGCGGCTTGACAAGAGAAATATGACATTTGAAGCCCATGTCCAGGATCCATCTGTGTGGTGGCTCTTGATGCACTGACTCCAGCCTCAGTCCACTCCTTGTGAAAGTCCCCAACACTTTTGAAGGGCCTTTTCCTGACAATCCTCTCCAGGCTGCGATCATCCCTGCTGCTTGTGTACCTTTTTCTTCCACACTTTTCCCTTCCACATAACTTTCTGTTAATGTGCTTTGATACAGCACTTTGGGAACATCCAACTTCTTTTGCAGTGACCTTTCGAGGCATTCCCTCCTTATGGAGGGTGTCAATGATGGCTTTCTGCACAACTGTCAGGTCAGCAGTCTTTCCCATGATTGTGATTCCTACTGAACCAGACTGAGACCATTTAAAGGCTCAGGGACCCTTTGCAAGTGTTATGGCTTAATTAGCTGATTAGAGTGGGACACTTTGAGCCTAGAATATTGAACCTTTTCACCATATTCTAATTTTCTGAGATTGTGGATTTGGGGTTTTCATGATCATCTCAATTATGACAAATCACAGCTTGAACTATCTTGCTTTGCATGTAATGAGTCTATCTCATATATTAATTTCACCTTTTAAATTGCATTACTGAAATAAATGAACATTTGCACAATATTCTAATTTTTCGAGTTTTACCTGTATTTATATTTTTTTAAAAAATCATTAGTGGTCCATGGGATTTAAAACTGAATCTGGTGGTCCCTGAGGTCCAAAAGGTTGGAGACCTTTGATTTAGATGACTGAATTCAGACAATATTTACAGAACTTAGAGGTGATGCAAAGCTCAGAGGAAATATCCAGAAAGATGTAAAAAGAATTGTTGCCTTCAAACCACAAGTTTGGTTTTGAGAACTTGATCCCTGAATTTGAGAGACATACTTACCTTTGCAAAGGTGCTTTTTGTCCACCTGAAAATATGAACCATGAAATAATTCAGGCAAATCAAAATGCATTTATTGGGAGGGGGACCAAGTCTTCTTAGAGTACAGAAACAAGTGACATCAGAAAGCAAGTGATCAAACAGTAAAGGATAGTTTATATGGGAGGCTTAGCACACTATTAGCTCATATTTACCACCCATTCTATAACTGAGGCTTTGGTTTTTCTTTCCTGTTTGTAAAACCTTACTTTTCTTATCACTGAATTGTTTTGTTGAATAGGAGCCAGTCTATC